TTTTTTTTTCATTTTTTTTTTTTTTTTTGGTCCGAAAGTTGGTGCTTCACACATGATAGACTTGCTTGGTCCAGATTCACTGGTGTCACTTGTATGGGCATCTCTTCTCAGGTTGTAACCATTATGCTTGACATAAACCAGATAAAGCACGACTTTGTAATTGAATTTATAGTCGATTGTACCTTGATTTGTACGTTTCTTGGCCGCTGGTTTTGGTTTCATCCACACAGTATTTTCAATTGCTATTTTCTGCAGTTGCTTTTAAATATTTAGTATGATGAAAAACTCCATTTCTGGCCTTGTTTGAATTATGAAATTTTTTGGTCTAATGATAGATGCTTTTTGCGCTATGCAGAAACTTGCATGGTCCAGGATCGCTGGTTTCATTTCTCTGGATAATATTTTGGCTGGTTTATTTCTATTATGATTTCTATCTTATTTGCTCGTTAGAGTTTGATTCTGCCTACCGATGAGTGCATTTCATGGGTTGAGCCATCAAGATCCATCCCTGCCTATATGTGTTATCAGCGTTCTGATGTTAAGTTTAACGTGTACTCGCTAATCAAAATTTGTGTATTAGGTTATCTAATTGTCAGTGATGCTATTAACTTTAAATAATAATCACAAAACAATTCAAAGAATTTAGCAAAGCAGATTACAGATATCACAGTACTCTGCCCAGTCGTCGTCAGTTTTCACTTTTATGGAAAAGAAAAGTTCTTGCGCTTCTTTTGCTCACTCAGAACAGACTTCAAAATCTAAGAATTTTGAAGTGAACTGATACGTTAATGGAATAGTTCACAAATCGTACTTCTGCAAATTTTTGCTTGGATGAAGTGGAAACCTTACAACTCTTTTAACATAGATGGACGCTCATCCAAGAGAGAACTCGAGACACATCAACGTGTAAAATCAACCGATGGACACGTTGACAATGGCTGCGGATAGGTTTTCAAGCTTTTGCGTTCAAAGTAGGGAGAAACCTGAAAGAAATCGTGTTGGGCCATGCAAGCCAAATTGTCACCTTCGATAAAAGATAAACAGCCATGGCATAATAGGCATGTCTCTACAAATGTCACCTCTAATAATAGTACACTAATCCTCAGTAGGAAACAACTTTTTTCCTTAATTTCAGCAAAAGATACAAAATATGAACTAACAATGATGCAAGAAGTTCTTCTGCAAGGTACCATGATCTCTATAATAACTTACTTCTGTAGGTATCCTTGACCTGAGAAGGCTTCAGACAACGAGATTTTACCTTCGGGATCATGGGAATCAGGAGGGTTTCTATGGTTTCTCTGTTATTGGCTATAGTTTTTGGCCTTGCGAAGAGCTTAGAGTTCACAGAAAAAGACCTGTCTTCTGATGAGCGCTTATGGGACTTGTACGAACGGTGGAGAAGCTACCACACAGTGTCTAGGGACCTCACCGAGAAAAGAAAGCGTTTCAACGTGTTCAAGGCGAATGTCCTGCACATTCACAAGGTGAACCAGATGGACAGGCCATACAAGTTGAAACTCAACAAGTTTGCTGATATGACCAGCCATGAATTCCAGAATTATTTCAGTTCTAAGATAAGACACTACCGGATGCTTCGAGGCAGTAGGGGTGTGACAGGATTCATGCACGGAAAAGCTGAGAACCTGCCAGCGTCCATTGATTGGCGAAAAAAAGGAGCTGTCACTGGTATCAAGGATCAAGGCAATTGTGGTGAGTTTTCTGTCAATAATAACTAAAGATTCTGAATTATATTATACATGAAAATTTCCAGTCATATTGCAGAATTTTTCATCTTGAAACATGGTTGAGTCGTTCTATATTTGGTTTATTTCACAGGCAGTTGTTGGGCGTTTTCTGCTGTGGTTGGAGTCGAGGGGATCAACAAGATTAAAAGTGGTCAATTAGTGTCTTTGTCTGAACAAGAGCTGGTCGATTGTGAAATGGACAATGAAGGCTGCAATGGAGGACTCATGGAAAATGCATTTGATTTCATTAAGAAACATGGTGGGCTGACGACTGAGAGAATATATCCCTACAGAGCCAGAGACGGGAACTGTGATTCTGCCAAGGTAGAAGAATAATTGTCTTGGTAAATTTATAGATGAAACAGATGCCTAATGCATGCTTTTCTTCTTCTGCTTGGGTTTTTTAGATGAATTTGCCTGCAGTGATAATTGATGGGCATGAAAACGTACCTGAGAACAACGAGAACGCATTGATGAAAGCTGTTGCAAACCAGCCGGTATCTGTTGCAATTGAAGCTGGTAGTTCCGACATGCAATTCTACTCCGAGGTACAACTTCACAACCTTAAATCTATTCAGGGGCCTCGAGGCCTCTGGTTCAGATTGTGAGTTCTATTCCTTTACCCTTCCCTGCGTCCATCCTCTCCCTTGATCTATAATTAATCCAGCCTGTGAAGAAATTCAAGGAACTAGGACTACATATTACTCACCTTAATTCCTTGTGATGTGTAAACCATATTCTACTACTGCAGGGAGTTTTTACTGGAGACTGTGGCACAGAGCTAAACCACGGGGTAGCGGTCGTTGGATATGGAACAACGCTTGATGGGACTAAATACTGGATAGTGAAGAATTCATGGGGGACCGAATGGGGAGAACAGGGTTTCATTAGGATGCAACGTGATATAGATGCTGAGGAGGGACTATGTGGCATAGCCATGGATGCCTCTTATCCCATCAAGTCATCTGCAGACAACCCGAAACCACCAAAGGATGAACTCTAGATTTAGGGACATATCTAGAAGACATATTTCTGCTCAATTACATGTCAAGGTCCTATATCCTAGTAGATTCATAGATTTCATCTGTAAGCTCTATGATTGTCTCAGTGAATCTTTTCAAAGTATGTTTAGAAAGAGATGCATTTAAAATTAAAATAAATATGAATGGCTTTCTAAGAGACTTCATGTCATCAAATCACAATGAATGCAGACGTGGATAAATTATGAAATATCTTCTTTAATTGTGTATCCTTCATGATTCTTCGTCTCTAGCCTCTCATAGCTCACACTTGCGCTTCACAAATAACAAGCGTGCCACCTTGGGATATGCCATGTATGGCATATTGATACACTGCATTAGAAAGGATTGTAGCGTATACTATGGAAAATTTTAACTTATTTTTCTTCTTTCGAACCAATTTTGTATGGTCCACCTTACCTAACAAGTCAGCAGGGAATAATACTGGTGGGATTCTGCTTGATTGAGGAAAGTTGAAACTCAAAGTTTCAATCAGAACAAGGAAATGACACAGTTCATAATTCAAGTTCACAAATTCTTATAATGTAATAGTTTTCACTTATTTTCAAACACGTCTAGCTTCATTGACTGTTTAATCAATTACTCGAAGTAATGTTTGACCTTATTGCATTGCCTTCCGAAAAAATATTCCAAAGCTATTTTCAAATTCATCTTGCGATATTGCAGATAAGTTCTTTGACTGAAACTCATGCAAGAATACAATCCTACATTGCATTTCGTTGAAATTTCCCTAGGCATACAATATTAAGAGTTTTCAACGCTTAGTAATTTACAAGGGGCTTGATATTCCACCTTTGGGCATTTGAAAGTAAGATATGTATCGCTGGCCCAACCCGAACATTCTTAAAATGCCTACTGTATGAAGAACCACTTTTGCNTTGGGCATTTGAAAGTAAGATATGTATCGCTGGCCCAACCCGAACATTCTTAAAATGCCTACTGTATGAAGAACCACTTTTGCGTCTTCTGAAGCATTTTGGCTTTATTGTGTTGTTAGATCCAATGCAGCTAAAGTATAAGTGGGATCCACCAGAAAACCAGTTTGCTGGGCAATTCTTTGGCATGCTTCAACTTCCCCCTTTAGTATATTGCCAAATCTGAAGAACACGACAACATGCCTTTGTTATTCTATTTTTAAATGTGACTGACATACCAACAGCAGTAGCATGAGAATTTTGGCAACCTTCACATGCAACCTAGGCACGTTCAAATAAGATACTATTTAGTTTTGAAAGTGTGAAGTTGTGTTTCTCAAACCACACTTTTATAAGTTGAAACGCGATGTTATCCCACTTTTACCCGCCTGGACAGTTGGCACTCGTGTATTGGTTGATATCTTTGTCACGCGAGTTGTGCTTCTTTTTGATTACTGTGGGCCGTCGATCAAATCTGATGGCTGAGATTTGGTCTTCCAAATTATTGGTTTTAGAGACTTCTTTGAAACTCTTCTCATCCATTTTGTCATTTTTGGTTTTGAATCTCTTGAGTTTCTGTCTCTATCGTCTATTGTTCTTCTTCTTCTTTCAGATGTGGTGATTCTCAGTGGATTTTGTAATAATATTTGTGGTTATCTGATGATGGTAGAATGTTTAGTGCAGTGTTTTTGGTCTAGTTTGTGGCTGGTAAATTCGTAGCGAGTTCTTGACAAGGATTTGTCTAGTCGTGTTGGCTAGATTTTTTTTGTTATTGCGAGATCCTTGAGATCGATGACTATTTGTAGGTCTGATTTGGTTTACTCGATCTGATTGTACACTTTCTCTTGAAGGTTTCTTGCTAGTGACGGGTTTACCTCTAAGCCTACCAAATTAGGTCGTGTTTGACTGAATTGGGTGAACAATCATTGTATTTGATTATTTTTCTTGCACTGTCTTTTACTATTTTTCGATTGTTTGTGGTCTTTGGGTCAGTATACCCAACAAATTTGGTATCAGAGCTGGTTCTTGAGGCATCTGGGTTTAAAAAAAATCTTTGTTCTAAAGATAAGAGACTTGAGGAGGTCTTTATAATTATTATTATTATTATTATTATTATTATTATTATTATTAGAGATTTCGTTATTCTGAAGTCTGGTTTCTTGTTTCTTTAACCCTTTTTCATTGTATTATGTTCGGATCTGAATAGACCCGAACAGGAGGTTAAAGTTTCTAACATTTTTCTTTAAGTGTGAAGGTTAAGGAATTTTCTTGGTTTGGTCAGCTCTTGGCCGATTCAATCTCTTGCAAGTAATAGGGAGATTTTCAAATTTTTGATTGCACTGTTATTCAACAGTGTGCTGGGTGAGATCCTCCCTTGACTACTACTGTATGAGCTAGCGTAAAGATTTAACATGCTCATTGATTTGTTGATTAATTGCCAATAACTGAATACTCTGTATTATTAATCAAATTTGAAATAGGAGTATGTGTAGGATTTGTTATGCATCATCTTGTTATACCTATTCAGTAACCCCGTATTAACAACATCCTGATTGTCTGAAATACTATCTTGGCCTGTGCATGCTAGAATAGTGTTTCATTTTGTCATCAATCTTTCCTTAAACTGCTAGGAAGTTTTTTGCACTTGAGTGACCACATATTGTGTTATCACTCATGTCTTCCAGTAGTAATCACTCTTTTACAGAACCCTCGATGGGTTCGAATGTCCAATTGTCACAATTCGATGGAAAGGAAAATTACTCCATTTGGAAGCAGAAAATGAAGGCCATATTGGTCCAACAAAGGATTGCTAAAGCCTTGGATGACCCTAATACATATTCTACTGAACTTAAAGCCAAATCTGATGAGATTCTTGAAATGAATGAGATAGCTTATAGTTCGATTATCCTGCACTTATCTGATAATATAGTAAGGCAAGTAGAGGAATCCAAAATTGTTAGGGACTTATGGACAGCTTTAGACAACCTGTTCTTGACCAAGACTTTATAAAATAAAATTTACCTTCTGGAAAAACTGTTTAGTTTTAAAATGGACGACCGGAAAAACCTAAAGGCCAATATGAGTGATTTTAGCATAGTCGTGAAGAGTCTTGCTCATAATGATAAAAAAATTTGAAGATGAGGATCTTGCAGTGATCCTTCTAAACTCTTTACCTGATTCTTATAAGGACATTAGAAATACTATAAAATACTCAAGAGATGCACTAACACAAACAATCGTAAGTTAAGAAAGAATCAAGACCCAATTCAAGGGAGGAGAGTTTATTTGTGAGAGGGAGAACTGAAAAAAGGGAAAATCATTCACAGAATAAAAGATTCAAATCATTCACACAACAAATAGACCATTAGACTATGTCCATGTAGATTTATGGGGCTCAAAAAGCCACCCAACATTTGGTGGGAATAAATACTTTCTCTCTATAATTGATGATTATTCTAGAAAGTCTGGACTTACCCTTTAAAATCCAAAATTGAAATTTTTCAAAAATTCAGATTGTGGTTAAAGATGGTTGAAAACCAACTGGACAAGAAATTGAAAACCTTAATGATAGATAATGGGTTGGAATTTTGTAACACTGAAGTTGATAATTTGTGCAAGTAAGAATGAATAATTAGACATAGAATTGTTAAGCATACATCCCAACGAAATGAAGTTGCTGAGAGAATGAATAGAACTCTTATGAATAAGGTAATATGTATGCTGATCAATTCTGGGCTTGCAAAAGGGTTATGGGTAGAAGCTTTATGCACTACTGCCTACCTAATAAATAGGCCACCTTGTAGTTCTGTAGAGTTTAAAACTCCACGGGAACTATGGATTGGAAAACCACCAAATCTGTCACATATAAAAGTCTTTGGATGTGCTGCATATACACATCAGATTGAGGAAAAATTAGATCCCAAGGCTACCAAGTGTGTTATGCTTGGATGCCCTGAAGGGGCTAAAGGGTACAAGTTATGGGTACTTGGTATTAAGGGAATAAGATCCTTAACAGCAAAAATGTGGTGTTTAATGAATCGAGATGCCATGCCTGAAGAATAAAATTAATAAATCACATCTGCCTAAAAAGGGTACTTCCCAAAATGAGGTGAAGTTGACAAGACTAAGTAATAACCAATCTGAAATAACTAAATGAGAACCTGTACAGCATAGTGAAAGTGTAGAAAACACTGATGAAGGTGAAGATAATCCACCCAAACTGAAGCTGAAAATGTGGCATCTAGTAATCCAGGAAATGAAGCTAGTACCCATGATTATCAATTAGTGAGAGATAGGGAAAGGAGACAGATTAAACCTAACGCAAGGTATGAAACAAATAATCTAACAGAATTTGCTCTTATCTCTAGTGAAAACTTAGAACATGCTGAACCCTTATCTTATGAAAAAGCTATGAACAGAACTAAGTCACAAAATTGGAAAAAAGCTATGAGAGAAGAAATGAAATCCCTTCTTGAAAATGAAACATGGAAACTTGTAAAGAAGCCAAAGAATCAAAAGTGGTTCAATGTAACTGAATCTTTAAGCTGAAAGAAGGGATTTCAATCCTTTAAGGTATAAAGCAAGGCTTATAGCCAAAGGGTTCACTCAAAGAGAAGGAGTTGATTACAACGAAATTTTTTCACCTGTAATCAAATATAAAATAATAAGACTAATACTTGCTCTAGTTGTTCAATTTGATTGGGAACTGGAACAATTAGACGTCAAAATTGTCTTTTTACATGGGGAACTGGAAGATGACATTTATATGTGTCAACCACAAGGTTTCGAAGAAAAAGGAAAATCTGATTTTGTTTGTAAATTGCAAAAATCTTTGTATGGACTCAAACAAAGTCCAAGATAGTGATATATAAGGTTTGACACATACGTTTTGAAAATTGGTTTTAGAAGAAGTGAATATGATCATTACTTATACTACAATAACTCCAAAACCGACATTGAAACATAACTACTCCTGTATGTAGATGATATGCTCTTGGCCAGCCCCAGTAAAACTGAAATAATGAGGCTGAAAAATCTATTAAAGCCTAAATTTGACATGAAGGACTTAAGGAATGCCAAGAAAATTCTAGGAATGGTGATAAAGAGAAACGGGCAAGAAAATATGTTAACAATATCACAAGAACAATACCAGCACAAAGTAATAACTAAGTTTGGCATGAAAGAAGCTAAGTCCATCAATGTTCCTCTTGCTACCCATATGAAT